GTGGCTTATCTGAGTGGGGGTGGATCACTGCAAAATCCCAGTTGTCTGTGCAGTGCGTCAGAGTTAGTCGTCGGCTCTTCATTCCCTTCATCTCGTACCAGCTGCCTCACCGCACTGTTACTCAAGTCGCACCCCTGTCTCTCACCACATTCTGTCGTCGCTCTCACTCTCTCACCTCCCTGTCCCGGGGTTCGGTCGACTCTCTGCCCCAGGAGGGTCTGGTCTCGCCGTGGCGACCGCACCCCACCGCCGTTCACAGCTTGGCTACGGCCAGCGACTGGGTAACTGACACCGGTCCCATTGTCCACGGCCCTGACTTTGGGTCGGGGACACTCATGAGTGGCGCATGGGAGGTGGAGTTTGAATGTGTGGAGGGTTATTTCTAGGATGGTTATTGTTTCCTAAATCATCCTGCATCTAGGATGGTTGTTTGCTCAGCTGGAGGTTACTAGGAGATGCGATAGGGTTGGGCCATGTTTGGGGTCACGTTGTTTGCTGTGATCGTTGACCGGTGGGTTTTGATGGCGGCATGTGTCTGGGTTGGTTTGTGAGATGTTTGCTGGTCATTGAGAATGGATTGATGAGATGGGACCGTATCACATTGGATGATGATAAGCTTGCAAGATCACATAATTATATTCACCGTTATTCAAACACCTTCATTTCACATTCGGTCACTTGGTTTCTGTCTCAGTTTATCGATGAGTTGTTCAATAGTCAGTGGGTTTCCCTTCTGGGACGTGCATTATGACACTTTTGGACAATTTATTTCGCATTTTGTTGGACCGGTAAGATGGCTAGGCACTTAGTTATATTATTTCGTTTGGCTTATGACTTGTTCGTTACACAGTTGTTGCAACTTTGCGATCCGCTAGTTTTTATTAATGGCACAGGCATTCTATCCTCCCTTTCGTATTACTGCCTTGCTATTTCTAGGCAGTCGTGTTCTTCACTGACCCCGACATCTCCCTGTCAGACCCCAATACCCGCGGGCTGCCTTTTACTCAGTGGCAAAGCGTCTCCCTGCGCCCTTTGCTATCTCAGCGACACCGATACGCACGAGATCTAACGACCCCTCGCTCACCCCTCTTTCAGCTGAGTCCGGCGCAGTCGCGCACCAAGAACCGTGACTGCGAGATCCTCAGCTTCTACGACGACCACGACATCTGGCACTTCCTCTCGGCCTCCAGCATGTTCTTCGGATTCATGGTGGGTCTGGGTGGCCTTTAGAGTTCAAGCGATGAAGGGGGGGGGGGGGCAGATAGAATAGATTAGAGTAGATTTGGGCATGGACCTGACTGCAGTGCGGACGTCGGATGTCTGATTTTCGATACGCCCCACTCGGAGTAAAGAAGTGATAATCTTTACCTGATTCGTAAAATGCGTTGTAGGAAATGTGACATATATTTTTTTTTTAGTGTTTCGCGACCTCAAGTATAAGATCTGTGATTATTTTGCAGTAGTGTTTAGGTCGCCAGGAAATAAGCCATTTTTTTCTCGTTATGTCACTTCAAGTGACAACCGCCATATTTATTGCAAGAATTATTTTTTTAACAGTTTTCGCCTTTTTTACCAGATTGAGCAGAGAGCGTGTTCCTTTTATTTACCGCTTCTTGAAATAACGCTAAATGTGCGTTTTGCTTTGTTGGCAGATTCTGCTGACATTGGATGACGATCTGGTTTTCACTCGCCGAGACAAGATTCCCGTGTTCTGAAGCGGGCTCAAGACCAGTATGTCTTTGAGCCAGCTCTGGTTCACATACCACGGAGCGAGACTAGCCGGCCGTTCATCGGAGCCATTTGGGCGAAACTTCTGCGTCGTCTGCTTCGGCGTATTATCAGTCGCTCTCTCCGCGTGGTCGTTAGTATAGCGAAGAAAAGGTACCAAGGTCGATATCGTGTACCACTGGAGAAAGCTCGGCATTCTGGGATGGATGTCGCGCTCTCACAGAGCGTCGGGTTAATCATGAAGGCCAGTCAAAGCAGGGTTACTGTGCCCCGGTGCGGCGTTGGTATGGCGGCTGGTCGACATAGCCTGCTTCTAGTGGGTGATTCTCACCGCGGTCGCTGCGCCCAAACCAAGCTGTCGATGTTGGGACGAACACCACCCCGGGAGCGTGAATGCAATGGGCGGTGAGCGACTAACGATAGCCACGAGTCCGATTCTCCGGCAGATACGACGGGCCAGAAAACACGCGGGATAGATAACAAAAGGTCCAGCAATTCTTTTCCGACGAGCGTTTGGCATCTGACATTGTAGACAGCACGGGCTGAGGGGCACAGGCTATTCACGCGATTAACATAGCCAACCGCAGCCGACAATGAAGTCACGCGATACATCGCTTGGTCAGCGGAGGCACTGCTGACCTGGGGTCACCGTTGACCTGAGGTCACTGCTGACCTGAGGTCACTGCGGCGGCGTTATTTCGTCGCCGGTAATCGGCGCGGCGAATGGCTGTTTCACTGGTCCGTATTGGTGTTGTATCCCCTATGCAGTATTTGTGAGGATCTAGGACGGCGCGTCCGCCTGAGGTTCTCACCTACAGTTAGGACCAGCTGGTTGCCTGAATCTATTTTCATCATCAATGTTGATACCTTTTTACGCGTCGGCTTTCTACCTGGTTCCAGTTCTGGTGGGACGGTATTTTTCATATCACCTAGCTGGTACTGGTACTAGTTCAGTTGTATTGATCAGAGGGCAATATAGGGAGGTGACTTTCCAAAGACATCGGGTAGGCTTAGTTATTATTTATAGCTCACCATAATTATGGCATTATCCATAAAATGCGCCGATATTTATTGCAAAGAATGGCTGCACGCGTTATTCCACTTAAATATACATGTAGCAATTTTACCGTGAACGCTTTTCCACACCACCATGTATTACCTATCAATGTGTAAGTCCTGTACGTTATGATATCGGTGCTACGCAGCGGCACTCACGAATAATCGCTAAATGTACGGAACGATCATACAATGCACGCGTCGCGGAGCCAAGTGTATATTGATCCGAAATCTCGCAGTCAGTAATCGCGTGTGCGTTCTTCGATAGTGATTATAGTAGTCCTGAATTGATCGTTACTATAGGGGAAGTTGTTTTATGCATGTGGGCAGTCAGTTGGTGTTTTTCGGTTGATTCCCGTTCGTTGGATCGTGTAAGATGTTGATGGCGAGAGGAAATTTTTCGGCGTTGTCTGACAATGGTAGCTCGACCCGGACCGACGCACTCGACGAGTGACTCGAGTGACTCACTCGGACCGACGCACTCTGAGTCGTTCTTCGGTGCGACACACTGACTAGTTATTTAGGTGACGAGTGACGACCTTCTAGACGCCCAAAATTCGCCCAGCTCCCGACTCGACTCGAAACGAGCGCACCGACCCTTTCCCCGACTGGTATGATCCGACTGCTATGACCGAACGCCTCCTGGTTTCCGACCGATCACCCCTCGCTGACAAACTTGATCGACCCGGCGACCCGACCCGACCTGACCTGACATTCGGCCACAATAGGCCACCCGCGACCGATTTTCCCGTGTATGCGTCTTGCTTGTTATGTTTATGTTGGCTGTGAAATATATGCGCGATGTGGTTATTTCTTTGCCACTGGTCAATGAGGGATCATTAATCCCCGACAGGGGTGGAGGGCATTAAGGGCCAAGGCCGCTGCAGGGTCCGAAATTTGTTCCATCTTCACGTTTTCTCACATAAAAACTTATGAATTAACCCGCGCCCTGGTGGGGTCTGTTTATAACGCGACCTGGTGGGGGGGGGGGCTATTTTTTGCCCCCCCCCCCCTCGTATCTCCGAAACTACTGGACGGATCCGAAAAATTCAAACAGCGTTCGAAAGGCCTGTTGTTTGTCAAGGGAAACCAAATTTTATTGACCTCGGGGTCACCGATGACGTCACAGGTCAGGTCAAAGATGAAATGTTTCACCGTTCACGGGTCTTCTAGGGAATGCGCTATAACACCGAGGAAAACGCATTTTGTCGGGAATCAGCGATAGGGCGTCAGTTGCCTAGTAGATATGTTGCTGTTAGAGGTCACTGGTCATACCAGGTCAGGTCAGAGGTCAGGTCACCAAAGGTCACCAAGGGTCACCACATGAACCCAACTTTACTAAGGTTATGCGATGCATGTTTTATGACCAGTTTTTCATTTCCAACTCAATGGTGTTGGTTATAAGACCATCAGGTACGGTTTAGGTCACTTTCTGGTGGAGGTCAGGTCAAGGTCAGGTCAAAAAAGGTCAAATTTCAAAGTTGATATTTTTGCATAAAATGGGTATTGATTCGATGCAGCTCGTCACGGGGAGTCTAATGGTGGTCTTTGTTTTGCGCTACGAGGTCTAGAATTGCTGAAAATTGAGTTTGAAAATTTGACGTCATCAATTTTGAACAGTTTTTTCGCTATAACTTGGCCAAAAAAAGAGGTATCGATCTCAAATTTGGTATGTAGATAGAAGGCGGTAAGGACTATCACATATATTCCGGTTTTTTTTCGAAATTCAAAATTTTTTTTTGGATTTTTTGGCTATTATATTCAAAAAATCTATTTTTTGATTTTTTGGGGTCAAAATCCAAAAATTTCAAAAATCCGAGATAGCAGTTTTGTAGCCCTGTCCATTCTACAGCTTTTATGTCTTATCATTTTTCTGTATTTGCAAAGCTATAGGCCTGACAGCTCTTCCCGCGAAACCCTTTTTTGGGTCGAAAACGGCAGAACATGACGTCACTCTGACGTCATTTCCGGCCAACCTATCATAGCCTTTGGAAAAATTTTTTGGTCACAATGTGTAAAATTGATGTCCGGGAGGGTACTAAAAGTTTGGTGACGATCGGCGCAGTGGTTCTGGAGATATATCGAAAAGTCTGGAGGGGGGGGGGGGGCAAAAAATAGCCCCCCCCCCACCAGGTCGCGGGTTAATACCAGTTTGCGCTTTGAGCATAAATAAGCCAGTCCGGTGCCAGAGCAAAATCCCGTCTCAAACAGTCACGAAATGTTCCCAAACCTTGTATTTATCGTACGGGAGTCGTCTGTTCACTTCACTAACGATTCGGTCACTCCGTGGCGGTCCGTATTTCCGCCATACACTGGAGCTCGGCCCGCCTACAGCGATATATCACGGGGCCCGGTCGGTGGCCAGGGCCAGGGAGACGCGGCCGGCGCGGCGGCGCCCGCGCGCGGAATGTGGCGGCTTTAAATAAAGGCTATATACAGGCTTTCGTCTGCTCAATGGAGCACAACAACAGGCTGCGGCGCCGGCCGTGCCCGGATCTCGGGGGCGCGGCTGGTGGTGCGCCTACAGCTCGTAATGCACATAATGGGGCACTCCGCGCGGACGGCGGCGGTGGCCGAGGGGGTCCTTGTTCAACAGATATACCGGCGGTCCATGCGCCGGGCTTTGGTGGGCGGCCGCCCTCCCCGCGGCCGCGGCGGCGGCGGGGGCGGCGGAGACCCGTACAGGAGGGCGGGGGCGGCGCGGCCGCCGGAGAGAGAGCTATTAGATCCTGTCGTATGGCTGCTTCCGCTTGTCGTGTGACCGGCCGTAGTCGTCTTGTACCAGAGGAGAGGACGTCTTCGGCCCTGCGGAGTGGACGGTCGTCAGAGGGGACAGTCATAATGAACACACTCGCGGGTAGATCAACAGGGCCCAAAGTGATCAAGAAGTGATCGGGAACGGCCATCAAACGTTTAAAATTAGAGGCTTCGCCAAATGTCAAGTCCCTTTAAAACCTACACGTGATCAACAATTATCAGCTAGCACCACACTGAAGTTTCAATTGAGCAAAGCTTAAGCTCACCACAATTACGGTTATTGACAGCTTTTTTAGAAACATTCGCCCAAATGTCTAGCAATATTACATACGATTCTGGGATAATGGTATCTAAAGTCATATACGATCGTAACTATCAACATTCGAGCTATCCACGCTTCATAGCCCGGTAAAACAGCAAATACACAGCAAAGGACCGGACCACAGCAAACCAAAAACATCGAAAGCAAGCTCAACGAGTGGATAACGCCGCGTTCATTCAGCGTTCAGTGCTACAGCGACAATATAACGTGTAAAACCTACTATAACGAAGTGCAAATAAACGTGTGCCATAAAACGTCAAAAAGTCAGCCGTTCCAACGGAAAATTCATTCAAGGGTGTGGTGGGTGGGTCAGCCAAGGTAACCAAGTCACAGCAGTAATCACCAAAAATGACATACGAACGCCCACCCGGTAATGGTTCGTGCGTGTTGCGCTGGGGTCAGGGGTGGGGTGAGGTCAGGGTGAGGTGGGTGACCAGTCTTCCGCGTCAGGCAAAAGGAGCAGCATCGACAGCAAAAGTAAAATCAACCACCACCACACAGCAGCTCAACACCTATCAGCCAGTGAGACACCACCAAACCAAAAACCAAGCCACGGTCCTCGCGTCCAGCTGTGGATCCCTGGACTGTGTCCAAACAGCTCGGCATGCGGCGGATCCCGGTTACAAGCAGGGTGCCACGCTGGGCTCCAGTGTCGCCTTACCTGGCCGGTCACACCGCCACTCGGTGGGGTGAGGGGACCGGCCGCCGCTCCCAGAGCTCTCCCCCGACCTGCGCGGCACCTCTGGTGGGCCTCACACCGCTGGTTTGTGTGTGCATGTGTGTTTGTAGAGTTCAGACCCGAAGCTGACTACTGTGGCCATTCTTATAAAGAAAAGAACGGAGGGACGCTCCGTCATTTCTGAGATTAGACGGAATTTGGTTATCATAAAAGGACGAAGACGAAAGACGGAACCCGTTAAAAGAACGAAGCCAGATTGACGCTACCCCCACCCAAAAGGACGCGTTTCCGTATCATAAAGAGACAAAGACGCCTCTGGTGACGTAAGACTTTGCGTTGTTCGTGAAAAATAACGCATCAGAAATAGCGCTGCTCTTCAGCAGCGCTTTTTTACGGCATTGATACGATATTTAGCTAGTTGCGAGAGCAACTTGTGCGAAATGTGTTTCAGGCTGCGTGCTAATCGATATGTGAACTGTATGACATTGGTCGGGAGTTATTTCACACGAAAATTAGTCAATTTCACATGCAGACCAAGTACCTATAGACCGCCACCTTATCGTTCTGCAGCTATCGATGTTTATCGGGCATACACATTAACAGGCAGGATTGGACACCTTGAGATGCAATATCCAGTAAGTGGTAGGTGTTTACTGTTTGCAACTGCCTCCCAGTAGCTCCACCCTCACCTGGCCTGTGTCCTGTGTCCTCTGACGCCTCGACTGGTATCACGGTTGGAGGTCTGAGTCACGTGGCACTACAACTTCTCGTTAGCACTTAAAGTTCTTGTTTGCACGCAGAGAAATTCGTATACACTCCACCACGCTCAAGCGCTCTCGCTGGACTGTCCTCGCTGTCCCCACACAGAGATCCACAGGCCATTCCTTCCCCCGCTCCCCCTCCCCCCTCTTTAGCGTCAGTTCGTCAAAACAACACCTGCGCCCCCCGTCTCTCTCTCTCTACCTACTCCTTCCCTCTCTCCCTCCCTTTCATCCCGAGCCGCCGCGCGCGTTCGCCGCGCGCCGCGTCGTCCCCTTGAGCGAAAGATGCCTTATCAGTATCCCCTCCTCTTTTATCTCTACCGCTTGTCCCGAGCCGCCACGCTAACTCAGGGTGTCTGCGTTGTTCCCTTACCGCTTATTAGACATCCTATCACTGAGTAAGACATAGGCATTACCACATTTATACGCAAAAACAATCTTTGGTGGGTTTCAGCCTGGCAGGAAAGACTACAACATATTACATACTTCGCCTATCTATATTATCCTTGATCGTAGCCAAGGCCTCTGGCCAAGGCTATGTATCGTAGCAGACAACAGTCCCCGGTCCCATAAAAATTCAAATGTGATCCCAAATAATTGCAGGTTCTCATTTTATTATACCCATATAGCGATCACAAAGTATTTTCTTAGTCTTATTGCATTCTTTGTGACGAAATTTATAAGAAAATATTGCAGGAAATAATTCCTGTTTCATTTACTAAAGCTCTTGATCATTTAGACGAAAAACGCATCCTAGCAAAACAACGAAGGGGGAGGGGTAGAGGGACGGAACCTTTATGATAACCAAAAAGGACGGAATCGTTTAATTCATTGAGTTCTTTTTTTCCTTCCGTCCCTCCGTCTTTTTTCTTTATAAGAATGGCCTGGTTGTTACTCAGATCGGTAGGTACCGGCTGGTTGTAACCTTTGGTAACAGCTGCGGCCGTGAATAATGGCGAGCAACTGAAGGAAATAGTTCACTGCCTTTGGAAATTATTTAAAAAAAAAAAATATCATGAAGACGACCGGTAAATACTGCCATCGAATGTAGCAGAAATTGTGACAGTTCCTCTTTGGACATAGTTTTGTCGAGCACAATTAGAATCAGCCAATCAGATTAGAAAAGTAAGCAGACACACCAGATGCCAGGCCAACACGATGGATTGAACCGTATCTGGTTTCGTGAATTACATACACAGCTTGAAGAGCTTAGTGTAGATTAACAAGAATATTAAATGCCACAAAGCAGGCGAACTATTTCCTTACAGTATAGGCAGTCTAGCAGGCCTACCGACGATTGTTTTCTCCCTGATCCAACCACCTCAGAGTTGAACTCTTGTCACCAGCTACCACCGAGCCACCAGCTCATGGCGCTGGTCCGGCCAATCGCAACTGAAAAGTGTCCCTCAGCTGTCCTCGGTCAGCGACGACGCCCCCGTGTGCCTCCTGTGTCCTACACACTTACACCGACGACACGTGACAACAGAACACTGACCACTCCGGTACCCCAGAGCGGGTGCGCCCGAACACTATTTACACCGGCGTGAGGTGCCCACACAAGGTGCTGCACAGTAGATACTAGTTAGACAGTGTAGACACCCCAACTGAAGCCGGTACGATTACGTGACACGTTGTTTGGGTTAGTAGAGAATCTCCCATTTCCACGTCGGAAAATTAGTCATGGTCGTGATAGATAGAGCATGCGTTTCAGTCTACACCATAATAAAGTGAGATTGCTACTCAGTCAGTCGCTACTCGTAGTCGCCATCGTGGCAGTCTATCTCAGCCCGTCAGGGGCTGATTTCAGTCCTACCCGTCTGCGTCTCTCCCTATGTCGTCCCCGCTGTCCGTGTGTGCGCGCGGTGTGCGCTGTGCCGGCCCGCCTACCTCGGTACTCGTCGTGACCGCCGACGTAGCGCGGCAGAGGCGGCCGGCGCCGCTCGGGCGACAGGCCACGTCCGTCGCTCAGCCGATCAGGGCTGTACGAGGAGCGCGACAGGGTGCGGCGCGGCCCGGCCGCCGGCGGCGACCAGTCTCTACCTGTCGGACGGCGGCCGGCCAGCGGCGGCGACACGTAGCCACGCTCCGAGCGGTGCGAGCGCTCCGACAGAGGAGAGTCGCGTCCGTAGCGCGGTCCGAACTCGTCGTATCGTCCGTCGGGCGGCGGCAGGGGCGCGGCGTACAGCGGCGGCAGAGGCGGCGGCAGGAACGAGGAGGGGTCGGCGCCGGCCGGCGGCGGCGGAGGCGCCGCCAGGAACGGGTCCAGGCCGGGAGGGGGCGGAGGGGGCAGGAACGCTGCCGAGAGCAGGGGGTCAGCCAGCGGGTCCACCTCCGGGCCAGGGGACACCGCGCCCGTGCCGTTCGAGTTGAAAGCTGAAACACGGCCGGTGTCAGATCACTGAATATCAGACGAAACGCAACTAAATTTAATTGAGCTAAAACCCGATACCCGTAATGCATGCTAGTTTCTATGAATTTCACTAATTATCAAGGAACAACAATCATTTTAATGGTAAAAAGAGCAAACTTCTTACATAACAGACCGAGGAGAAATACAATTATATACTGCAAAACATCCAGGGCAGCCACCTGATAAAAAATCGATACTTACACTGCAAACTTGCTTGCCCATTTACTAAATTATTCTTCTCTTCTTCTGCCTTCGTCAGCCTGGGAAAGAAAAACAATCGTCAAAGATAGTGCAGCAGCTTTGGCCAGTTGTTCCAACGGTTTAGACCTTTCTGACTTTTTGATACAAGAGGTCTCTGTTCGGCCCATACACCGTCCTTGCCTCGTCATAGTCCCCAGCGCTCTGTATTTCTCTGTCTCCCATATCGCCCTAGCTTTCCGCACTCCGTTCACCATTAGCGCTCTGCGCTATAGCCCCCCCCCCTCAACCCTACCCATAACCCATCTGCCGTACAAAGGCAAAACCGATTATGTCGATTTTCGACCATTTTTCGTTTTTGTTATTAATCTATTCGGAATTTTCTGCTGCGTCTGATGGTGGTAACGTTTTGTACGGTTTACGAAAAATAATCAAAATATTTGGAAAAATGGATTTTTGGAACTATCACGTTCTCATGATAAGCCTAGATTACAGAGGCAAACATGATTACGTCTTTCCAAAAGAGTAAAAAGCACTACGTCTGCATGTTTCAGATGGGAGTTGATGGCAAAAACAACTAGGTTTCAGATATAATCAGATTTGTCACTAAAGAATAACAAGAGATAAGGGGAAAACCAATTACGTGTCGACGTGATCAGAAATGCCTCGTTGCTTTATCTTTATGACAGGAGGGGTATAAACGACAACGTCTGAACGTGATTATTTTTACCAATAAAGAGAGCAATGCCTGCTTGCAACGTGCTCATTTTTGTCGTGCCGATTTAGTTTCTTCAAGACTAAGGTGCCACACACTACCATTACTGGCGTGCATGCCTACTAACGTAATCGCTTTAGCTGCAGACAACGAGTTCGATGGTAGCGTCTGACCACAACGTAATCGTTTTTGCCACCTGTACCAATGACTCTTCAGCCTGGAGGCATTCAATCCTACTACTTACGCACGCGCATGTACAGGGACGGATCCAGGGGAGAGGCTTTGGGAAGGAGAGACAGAGACAGACGACGCTGTCCTTAACTTTCACTATAGGCGCCCAATCGCAAATTTTGCCCCCCTTCCAACCCCCCTCGTAGGTGGAATACATGCCGCCCCCATTCCAATGCCCTCTCCGAGGAAAATCCTGGACCTGACTGGCCTGATCCCTGGCACCGAGGAGGTGGCCGCTCTGACCCCTGACGCCGGAAAGTCAGTTACTCTGACCTCTGCCGCCGGGGAGCTGGCCGGCCTGACCCCTGGCGCCGGGGAGGCCACGCCCCGCGCTACTACCGAGGAAACAGCTCCACACGTCACTGTCGAGGACACGGCGGTCCTAAACCCCGTCGATGAAATAGTCACGAACGTTCCCGCCAGGGAGACGAGGGTCAACGGAGACAGGCGCGGATACAAGGGGGGGGGGGGGCATGGGGGCCATGGCCCCCCCCCTTGGCCGATTTTTTTTTTTCAAAAATAAAATAAAAAGTTAAAAAGCTGAAAAGGGGGCCTCCTGAAAATAAAGTGGCTATTCATGTTGAGATGTTGCCTGAACAGCTAGATAAGCTCAATAGACGCAGTTTTTTTTTGGAGGGGGGGGGGCCCAACAAGTGGGAAGATGGGGCCTCCAACAGGTGGGATTATGGGGGCCTCCTGGTTTCTAATGGCCCCTCCCTTGGAGATTTTCTGGATCCGCCCCTGAACGGAGACACACTACCTGTTGGGTCATGCGTAAAGGCTGATCACAGTGCTGATGACCACCAATGCAGCTCAGGTGCCTGCGGCACATTGAGTCTCATGTCATGTCGCTCAGTCTAGGCATCGTACTGAACCCGGAAATGACAGTACTGACTGACTTAACCCCACTGTTGTCTGCGTCCGATTGCACACCAGCGGACATTACCAAGGGGCCCCCGCCAGCTAACAATTAACGTACTAAACATGACGGTCCTGCCTGACCAGTGATCATCCAGACCACGCGGAACAGGAACCCAGCGGTGGCCTGGAGCCACAGGACTTCATGCCACTCTCCTCTTCTTCACCTCGGTCGGTTCAGCGTGAAGCTGGATTGTGCCAGGAAGTCGGTGAGGACCGCTGTCGCGCACCATCTCCCACAGCGGAAGCAGCGAGACCAAGAAAAAGAGCTCGGACGAATGCACAGAAGATCGCGAACTTCGTGAAGATCGTGAACAAACACCAGGTCAGACTACCTCCGAAGGCCTGTGTTGATGGTTGTTGGAGACGCTGCACCACGAATTTCTGTAAAAATCAGCGGAAAAAATAAGCGAGCAAGTGAACAGGAATGTGATGCGCCGAGCACCTGCTACACCTGGGCCCTGCGGCGCGTGGAGTCATCCTGTCGCTGATCAACTCCTCCTGGGACACCGCCCTCGTCCCCTCGGCCTGGAGAAGGGCAGTTATCATCCCTATTCCCAACGCAGGCAAGAACCCGGGCTCGGTGAGCGGCTACCGTCCCATCAGCCTCACCAGGCACCTGGCGAAGCTGGCTGAACGGATGGTCGCCGCTAGACAAACCTGCGTGGCGAACAAGAAGCACCTAGTTTCGCCCGAACATGTTGGCTTTCGACGAGGCCGAGGCGCAGAGGAGAGCCTTGCCAGGCTAATACAGACTGTTCAAGACTTCTGGATTCTGGAACCGGCCGAAGCACGGGGACATCCGAGAGACGGAACTACCGCCGACAGGTTCGCCCTCCTGGCTTTCGATTTCAGTCGCGCCTTAGCGCCTACGATCGTCACCTCCCGTCACCTCCCGAGGTGCATAGCCACCTGGGTGTTCGGGGCTTTCTGAGGGACCGCCGAGCCAGAGCCCAGGTGAATGAAGTGCGCAGCTCGGAGCGCCCGTTCCGAGCGGGCCTGCCACAGGAGTCGATCCTGGCCCTCACCCTCTTCACCCTCTGGTTCGCCGACCTAATCGAGGACCTCCGCCACGTCCCCAGGACACATGTCTTTGCATACGCGGACGACACGGCGACAATGAGTGCAGGAGGCACGATGCCTGAAGCAACGGCCAGAGCGCAGCAGGCAACTGACACTCTAGCGAGCCGAACGCGCCGCTGGAAAATGAAGATCGCCGGCCAGACAACACAAGCTCTCGTCCTCTCCCAGTGGAGTAAAGATACCGTCGACTTTAAACTCACAGTCGATGGAGCTGAAGTTACTGAAGTTACTCGGCATCACGCTGGACAGGTTACTTCATTTCGGCGAGCACTGTACCAGTGTGAGGAGGAAAACCAGGCCCCAGATCGCCCACCTGCGCTCCATGACGAACCGGTCGTGGGGACTGCAGGAACAGCAGCTCCGGACGGTGGCCAACGGCTACATTAGAGGGGGCCCTCCAGTATGCGGCATCGGCATGACTACCCGCCACGCCTCCTGGACATGTCGAGCAGCTGGTTGGACCGTGAGCTTCGATTGGCGGCTCGCGTGGTGACCGGCTATACCCGATCAACCCCGGTAGCGCCGCTCATGGCAGAGGCCGGACTACCAGTCGCAGGTAGTCTCTCTCTCCGCTGTTGCCTCATAGTCAAACCCAGAATCCTCCAGCTCTTCTGACATTCTACACCATTCTTATGCTGATGTTCAAGGACTCGGAAATGTCTTTGTTTGTCCTTCCGGCGCGCATGGCAAGGAGTACCACATGTCTTTTCCATAAATTGAAGGCTCAAAATCGTCCATAGTCGCTAACTCTGCAACAGGGGAAACAACATAAGAAAAATTGACCTGAAATAAATATGAAACCGAAAAATTAAAAGCTTAAAAAGGCGCAGGAATATCGTGTCCGCACCCTGTATTTAGCAGTGGTCAGACCGGGAAAAGGCAAGGAGTATATATTGATAAAATGATTATGTTGTTACTGTTCTTTTGAATGATAAAACGCTCGTACCTACTGGTAAAACCGCCTATGTTAGAATACGATGACTTTTGTCAAATGCTCAAATGTTCAGGAAAAAGACGTGATCATTTTTTACCCTCAAAGTAAACGTAATCGTTTTTGTCTTTGTAATTACTAACAGCATTTGACACTTCCTCCAAAGGCAAAAACGATTTTGGTCTTATTAACTACAAATAATTTGATATACACCCAAAAATATGCTCAATGAATAGAAAAGTGAATAACAAATCCAATGATACCAAATACTAGTCTGTAAACATTATAGAAGATCAGTTCCGACCAAAAACAGTAAAATCGCACTCCTGAACAATTTTGTTTTGTCAGAAAACATGACGTGATCGTTTTTGCCTTTGCACGGCAGCCATAACACTTCTACGCAGTATTTCGCTTTTAACCGCAGTCACAGCGCGCTGTGCCGGTGCCCCCCCCCCCCCTTCCCAACGTAAATAACTACACATTTAGCTCTCAGTGTTCTGTGTAAGTTACTGTCCTCCCTCCCTGCCGTCAACTCACAGCGCCCTGTACTGCTGCGCCTCTCGGTTGGCTTCCTCCAGTCGCCGCTCGGCCTGGCGACACGTCACCCAGCTCTCGTGGGCGCGCTTCTCCAGAGCCTGGATCTGAGACCGGAACGAACGCTCCGTCTCCTGTGGAGCGATATAAAGACATTGTCAGCCAGCAGCTCAGGCAGGGGGGGGGGGGGGCTAACACACTGGGGTGCGTGAGACACAATGTCAATGTCTTTTATAGTCAGCTCACAGGGCGTCTTGTGTCCTTGAAGCGCGCGGTACTTCTGCTTTGTGTGTCCGCCATCAAAATGAAGCATTTCAAACGAATACTGGTGCTTATGTAAGGAAATGGAAGATGCTTTCACAAAATACAATTGTGATCACTCAAAGAGTGTACTGTAAACAGCATAAACCTGCAATTGACACTTGACCCTACCAGAAAGCTACGCTTAAACGGTTGTTAGTTTGACATATATCAAGTATAAATGCCAACAACAGTCTAGCTTCCCAAGACACCGCCCACCGCTGGTGTCCCCCTACTACCCCATCCCACGCCGCGACTGACCTGGATCTCCTGTTTGAGCGACTCCACCTGAGAGCGATAGGTGGCGATCTGCTCCTCGTACTGCACGAGCAGCCCCTGGTTACTGGAGGCGTCTCCCTCTGAGTGGGTCAACCGCGACTTGAGCACGCCCATCTCCCTGCGGGGGTGAGAGACAGCACGTCAGAGGACTAACTAGGTGAGGGTACGGGAACAGGGCGGGGTGGGAGGCTTCAGCACTGAGTAGTCAAGGACAGTGGGAACATTCCTGGTAATAGAAAGACAATGTCTGGTGAGAGACGAGCTGACAAACTGAGCAAGTAGTGCAGATATCAGTGCAAGCAGATAAGAAGTGAATTTTAGCCAAAAAGGTAACCTTTGGCCGATTGAGCCGATTCTAGCTCACGTCGCTATAACTCACTCTTGGAAGGAGAGCTCCTTTTTCTGGAAGTACTTTTCGAGGTGTTCGAGTTTGGACTCGGCCTCGAACCGGTCGACCTCGGCTTTCTCGCAGCGCTCCGAGAGCTGACTCAGCTCCGAGCTCAGCGTTTTCTCCGCCTCTGTGACGGCACAAAGACAGGCGTAAAGACGGACGTAACACAAAGACGACGTAATACGCGTAAGAGACATTGAGCGGGTCGGTGGCTCGTTAGTACCAATGATTAGATTAACTGCGCCGGCGAGGACCACGAAAGGGCGGGAGACGTGTAAATATTTCCACATGAATACCTTGCCATAAAGCAGCAGTAAACTTGATTAAGCAAACACAGTACCTAAATTGTCTAACACGGCCAAAGTCCTTGACACTGCTGAACAAATAATTCGGCTCAAATGCCGTTCTTGTGTTACCTTTGAACATTCATATTGTATTGAGTTTGACAAATCCGGTCAATCGAATATATCCCGCAGGAATTCACCAGCATATGTGACTTTCGAGCCTCACCTTGAGCCTTTTTGAGCATTTCTCGTTCCTGCTTCCATTTTTCCTTAAGCTTAGCGCGCTCTTTGGTCAGTTTTTCTACCTGAGCCTTCAGCTTCCCACCCTCCAGCAGCGCCTGGATCTTCTCTTCGGCTGGAAACGACACAATATTGTAAACAAAGCAAACACTGAATTTGTAACACACCCAAGGACAATGGTGCACTTATATCCTCCCATCAATTGCGATTTAGTAAAATTATCACCCTAAGGACTAAGAAAACATGAAAATACAGCAGCCACCATAGCATCATTTCCGCATTCACTCACCCAAACATGCATTATGCACGCCCTGGACTGTCATTAACACTTTAAAAGAGTAGCTATCAATCCTAGTATAGCAGCCATTGGACGTTCGTCCCACTCACAGCCGTTGTCAGTGCCGTCCTGGACCGTCTTCAGCATGGTCTTCAGCGCGTCCACCTCCTGTGTCAGCGTGTCGGCCTGGTCGCGCGCAGAGTCCCGCTCGCTCTCCAGCTCGGTCACACGCGGCTCCAGGGCGGACAGCTGGGGGAAGGGGGAAGGGGGTTAGTCAGGGTCAATGGTGCGTGGGATTCAAGAGGGGCAATATAAGGAAGACAATGCAGCAACGAGACAGTCCCTTGCCGACAAAGGCCACAGGCTGCTTGTGGCAAAGAAAGGTCAGCAATCACTTGGGGCTGTCTGTAGTCGGACTACATATTTAACGATGTTAAATACAGGGTGACACAAAAAAAAAACGGTCATCACCAAATTTCGAATAAATTCGGAAGTTTTATTCAGATCATCACCAAACTTCGGCCACTTAAGGTCACACCTATGTAGCATACATCCACCAAGTTTCAAGTCTTCACTACGAATACTTTTAGTACAGTGTGTGTTTTACTGACGCTCCACAATGTGCTCCAGGTGAGCGCCACGGCGCTGCAGGGCGTAGGCACACTTGCATCCGGCGGGCAAAGTTGTCGATAACCCGATGGCTGTGCACTTTACAGAGTGCAATGGCCTCTGGAGACAGTGCTCAGGGTGTGTGCTACCCCTGAAACGTTATTCTTATCGGGTTATCGGCAACTTTGCCCGCCGGATGCAGGTGTGCCTACGCCCTGCAGCGCCGGGGCGCTCACCTGGAGCACATTGTGGAGCGTCCGTAAAACACACACTGTACTTAAAGTATTCGTAGTGAAGACTTGAAACTTGGTGGATGTCTGCTACATAAGTGTGACCTAGTGTGACCGAAGTTTGGTGATGATCTGAATAAAACTTCCGAAGTTATTTGAATTTTGGTGATGACCGCTTTTTTTGTGTCACCCTATACATCACCTAGGTATTATTTCCTAGGTATTATTTCCTATAATTTAGCCCTGAAGTAACAACACATGATTGTTTCTCCCTTGCAAACCTTTTCGCAAACCTCCACCCTCCCAAGTCCCACTTCCACTCCTACCACCACGCCTCCCTCCCCTGCTCCCCCTCCCCTCCTACCTTCTCGGCAGCGGCGTCCCTCTCCTCCGCGATGGCCGCGCACCGCTCAGTCTCCTTCTCAGCTCGCTCAGTGAGTTCCTCCACCGTCTGGCGGTGCTGCTCCTCGACCTCGGCACTGACGCGGCTGCTGCTGCCCAGCTGCGAGAGGAGGGGGGGGGGGGGCAGTCAGAGCACCGAACACCGACCTCGACACTGACGCGGCTGCTGCTGCCCAGCTGAGAGGATCGGGGGGGGGGGGATAGTCAGGGCACTGAACGGTGACGTGGGGATACATTTCCCATTGCGTTACACGAACCAGAATTACGGATGGGACACTAGATGACAATGAAACCAAGTAGCAGCTGACTCAGTGAGTATAGCCCTAAATTGTGAAATCGAAATGGCAAATTATAAACAGCATGGTCAAGTACAGTTAAGTACAGCTGAAACTCAACAGCTAGAAGGCACACCAGCTGCTGCATGACCATAGGAAATGCCATCAAAGTCCTTCGCTGACAACTTGTTCAATAACGCTCCAATCGAATCAATTAACCCGCGCCCCAGTGGCGGTCTTAGCCAACTTCGCCCTAGTGTGTGTGTGGGGGGGGGGGGGGGCATATGTTACCACCCACCTCTAACTCAAAAACTAAGAGGGCTAGAAAGACGCGGTAAAAAGCAGTCGATAGCTCTCAATACGTACGTTTGAAAGTATTTCGGTCATTTTTCACTTTAGAGCAATATTGGGGTCACCAGAGGTCATCAAAGGTCAAAATTTGCCAATTGTCATAATATTTTTCAGAAAACATGCCGCTATCTTAGGAACTATGGTAGCTAGAAAAACGCATGGAAGAGCAATCGATAGCTTTTAAACTCTTCTTTTGAAAAGGTCATTATCAATATTGACCTCAGGTCAACGGTTTAGCCTCCAGAGGGCAAAAACTCCAAAAATAGCTGTTTTTACGAAAAGTGTTTTTCGACAATAACTTTCGACTATAAAAAGCCACGACATTTCTATTGCCAGAATCGTGTTCCCCTCACCGAAACGCCTCAAATGACCTATAATTTGACCTTGAAAGGTCAACTTGAAAATTTGACCTCAGGTCAAGGTCATGACCTGACCGGAAAAGGTCATATTGTTGCATATCAATCGATGCGTCTCAACAAGACAAACACAATGAGACCATCCCCAGCGTTCTATCTCTTTCCAATCGCGAGCTATAGGCAAAAAAAACTGTTTGTAGCCTCAAATGACCTCGGATGACCTTTCTAGAGGCTATCAGCAAAAATGACACCTTGGTCATCACGAATGGACTAAATCATTGTGATTTTGAAATATTTGGACTGTTCCTATGCGCACACACGGATCTAGAGGCATTTTCATTTTTCTCCATTGACTTGTAATGGAAAGGTCACGCCACTGACCTGACCTTAGGTCACGGATATAAAAAATCCGAGATATACAAATTGTAGGCGCCCATAACAGCATGCAATCCACCAAGCTTAAAACCTTTCTGACGAACACTGCAGGCTGGACATGATTGCAAACTTTTTTAGGCTTGGTCAGTTAACTTGACCTGGTGTCCTGACCTGACATGACCTGGGGTCAAAAATTTCACACATTGTCCAAAATTGATGTACCAAAAGCTACCCCAAGCGGCGCGGCGCTAAGCGCCGCGGTTTTTTATTCACACGCAAAAAAAAAAACGCGACAGGGTGGTAACACATGACCCCCCCCCCCCCGACTGGGGCGAAGGTTAACCAGTTATCTCCCCAAGAGTGTTACCTCTGTGACTTTGGCCTCGAGCTGTTTGATGAGCGGCCGCGATACGGACAGCTCGTCGGCCAGCTTCTTCTTATCCTTCTTCAGCTTCTCGATCTCGCCCATCAGCTTCTTGCGCTGCTGTTTGAGGTCCGACTCCAGCTTGCCCACCGTCTCGACGATCATAGAGTCCAGCTGGGGGTTGTTGGATGCGCTCTGGGGACGACGGGAGAGGTGGGTTTAGACAGCGTGCCACGACAGTGCGTGGCAGATTGTTAACTCAGAGAATATGTGGCAAGGGTGATGGATGAACCAGCGGTATGAGAAGACTGGTATAACATAATGACAGCTTGACTTAGAATCGATAAATCTCATGGCGATACCCTGTTTGACTGGAATAATTGTTACACGCCTCGACTAAATGCACGTTGTGGTGACATATAACGACCCAACAGCTATTCATACTGGAGTCCCATGTCCGAGCTCGTGGTCCCTCTTCCGGGCACACCTCCCCAGAACCTCTCCCTCTCCCTCACCTGATGGGTGCTGATGACGGCCGTCTGCTCCTCGAGCAGCTGCTGGGCCTCCTGCAGCTCCTGCTCCAGACCGGCCACCTGTTTACCGAGCTCGCTGATCTGGTGTCGCGCCTCCTCGAGCTCCTCCTCAGCTGCCTGCTGGTCGGCGGCAGCCGCCTGCAGGGCCGCCTGCGTGGCCGCCGAGCCGCCCTCCAGTAACTGGGCGAGGGATGGGATTTCACGTTACCCACAGACACACATATAGACAGCCGAGCCGCCCTCCAGCAGCTGGGGGAGAGAAACAATGGTGAATACCCCTTACACTTAAAAACACAAAGGCCGCCGAGCCGCCCTCCAGTAACTGGGGGAGGGAATTATCAGTAGGACGGAGAGGGTTCGCATTACCCACCAATACACATACAGACTTACTAGAAGCCGAGCCGTCCTCCCACAGCTTGGAGAGTAACGGAGGGAAGGACAGTTTAGTTTATTCTAACCACCGACGCACAAAAAAGTAAGCAAATAATAATCATGCGGGTAGTTAACATCCAGTTTCAGATTAAATAGTATCATCTATGTTTGTCAGTGATGTTCAGTAGTTATAAGCCCTCACCTGTTTGTTAGTTGCATCTAGTTTGGATTTGAGCGCGTCCGTCTCCTCCTTATACACGGTCAGCCGCTGGTGCAGCTTGCTGATGGTCCGCTTCAGCTCGGAGTCACACCGGAATTGCTGTCAGAAGGTCAAAAAGGTCAGAGGAGGTCAAACATCGCCACAAGTTTGACCACAGCGCAGGGATGGTTCCACACGGTGACGGTAAAGGCGTAAAACTAGAACATATCGTGGCTAGAAGAAGCACAGAGGTCATTTGGGCCAGCCGGGGTCGCCCAGTGTATCCTGGAACAACATTGTCGATCAGGGAACGAGCGACTGAGGAGTAAAGTGCAAAGGTCGGCGGCAAGTCGCGCATTAACGACAGCAGCGCAGTACAGCGCAATTGGCTCATCACTGGTGAGTTTTAAATGCTCGTGAATTAAGACCTCTAAGAGATCGATCTGCAAGACATGGGTGACAATAATGAAGCAGGATCGAAGTTGGAGATGTTTAACAGAGCATGTAGCCAGCTAGGAATAAGGACAAAATTGCTGGAAAAATGTGGGAGTAGCTTGAAATGACTTTACAATACAATCGAGCGGACTGACACTTAATAAGATTACATATTACCAACCCCAGAGAAAATCCGAAAAAATAGCCACCCGTATCTATATAACATGACACGACTGTAACGATGTCGACTAGTCGCCCCTTCTACTGCAGTAAGCCAGTCCAACACGTACCGCCACGGCTCGGACCCCGATGAGGAGCACCGTGAGCGCCAGTCCGATGGTGGAGAGCAGCACGGAGACGCGGGCACCGCCGCCGGCTCCGGCGCAAGTGTCCGAGTCGTGGCCGGCCGAGTAGCTGTCCACCAGACCCCATAGGCTGGACGGCAGCTGCGCAAACACAGGGACACAGCGGGGACGAGTGGTGAGCATACGTTTAACTATAAGAATGAATAGATGTGCCGGTAGGTTTAAGAGACCATGGCCTGAAGTGGGGCCTCTCGCAGCTCGCCTCAAGGCTGCCGTCAATTGGTTCGAGATCCTGACAAAGAAGGAGCACAAACAAAACACGACCGATGATCAGCCCTGCCACTACCCGATGACTCACATATTTTCACCGTTCTTACACCGTGGTGGTGAGAAACCCTCTCACCTGGTCCTCCCAGTGCAAACCGTCCGCTAGCCCCGCGTCCATGACCACCGACATCCCCGCACCACACCGTCCCCTACGGTTCCCACCCCAGTACTGAGAGCCGACCACTGATCGCAAGGCCACGGCCCCCGAACGTAAACACGGACCGACACGTCATCTTTGGACCGGGGCCAGCCGGCCGCGCCCGTCCGCAGCGCACGTACTATCGACGGCGGAAAACCAGCGAAACATTCGCGGAAGAGAGGGTGAATATCTCCGCACTGTGACGTCTTCATGACGGAATTTTGGCAATGACGTCATGATAAGCACTAGAACATGAATAAGAACACAAAGTAGGACGAATGAAAATGGCACGGTAGTTCCACAAACAGTCACTCATAACTCATAAGTGAGGTGCTGAGATGTCCTGACTAAAATATCCCAAAACCAAATAAATAATTCCACAGCACCTCTAGACAACACTGTTATCCACCCCTTTCCCAGTCCAACTCACCAGCGTAGCCGTCACCTCCTCCAGCAGTCCAGGCGCCTCGGGCTCCGACTGACTGTAGGCACTCTCCCCGTAGGCACTGTCCCCGTAGGCACTCCCTCCGTAGGCACTCTGGGCCTGACTGTTGGCACTGTCCGGCTCCGGCTCGGCATAGGGACTTTCCACGCTGCCGCTGGTGGAAGGCGGGTATGAGGACGCGTACTCGCTCGAGGCCGGGTCGCTCGAGGCAGGGTCGCTCGAGGCGGGGCCGGTCGAGGCGGGGTCGCTCGAGGCCAGGTCGGCTGCGTAGGGGTCGGTCGGAGTCGACCCGGTCGCTGACGGGTCGGTCGGTGCAGAGTCGCTCGAACTGGAGTGGTCGCTGGGTGCCGGCCCGTCGGCGGGGGGTGGGCTGTACAGACCCGAGAGGGGGTCGTGGCCGGACGGCGGGGCGTCTGAAAATCGGGGAGGGGAGGGGTCGGTCAGCTGCGGAATTCACAGATTCTGGAGGAGCTGAAAATCGCGTGTATCTTATTTTTCTTAGATTAACCTTCAGGAGTGGAAGTGAGGCAGAATTCAAAAGCTTGATATGAGACGAGAAAAAGCATCAAAACTCCTTTTTGAAATACTGCTTACAAGACCGCTTTATAAACTGGTGTAGCTTAAAGAAGAGTCAAATGAATGAACGACAGTGCATTTGTCGTATATGTATTGTCAAGCATAGCCGATTTAGTGTCAACAACAATTCACTGGTGGAAACGCTACTTTTGTTGACGAATAAACATCGTTGACCACACACAACGTCTAGGGTGATGCATTTTCCCTGTCGCAGCCAGCTCAGTACAAAGGCCTTGAGCACTGAGCAGGCTACGTAGAAGGATAACTGATGTTCGTAAACAGGTCAACAAAGCTAGTCACGATATCAGATATCAAAACGGGGATTATAGCGAGGTGCTGACTGCATGGACAGCATCAACAGGTGCCTAAAGGCAAACATAAAACTGAGTGAGCTACGCAAAATGCAGCCAATGAAAAGAAAGACGCTTAGCCGATGACATCATAATTCATATGAGTCGAATTCATTCGTAGAACACACCTAATCAATATAATGAAAAATCATAATATAGATGAAGCAAGACAACACACAATAAACAATCCTCGACATTTTTGCATAGAACGTAAATTATATAAGGTTCAAAAAGTGCGTGTGCTTTCTTCTTTAGACCTGAAATGAAATGAAATGAACACAACCCAATAGGCAAGCGCATGCAGTATGAACCCAAGCAAGAGCCAAGTCTAGTGACAGCCATAGGCCCCGGCATATTCTACTCATGCAACCCAAACCTACCGAGGAGCTCTTCGTCTAACACCCAAAACATTCAACTACGTACATGCACGATCTCAGAGGGATGCAAGCCTCCCGCGCGACCCAGTGTCAGCGCTTGCACTGTGAGACTGCGGAGGGCTGTCCGCCAGTATCAGTTGTTAGCCGCAGCACCCGATCTGCTCTGCTGACTCTAATAGGCGCAGTGAGGCGGCGCCTCTACTCCCAGTCCCAGCTGCTCACCACGGTGCAGCACACAGCGCACGACTCGGACCGAGCTCCCCCTCCCCTCCCTCCCAGCTGCTCTCTCATCACACCCAACGGTGCAGCGCGCAGCACACATCCCTCTCTGCGCTTCTAGCCCCCTCACCCTCCCCAAAGGTGCAGCTTGCATCGCGCAGTTCCTCAGGATCCCGCGATCCTCCCGTCCCCTCCCAACATGATGCAGCTTGCATCCCCTCCCTCGGATCGCGCTCCCCTCCTCACACGGTGCAACGAGGCCAGTGTTAGTTTGGCGTCCCCACACGGTGCGCCACACAGTGCGGAAGACGCTGTACCGAGCTTCTCCGAGCTCCTCGGCTCTCACCGTTGAGCAGTCTCCGCCGCTTCAGCTGCTGTACCAGCCGTCGGCGCTTTCTCAGTTGTCCCCGCTCTGAGTTCCGCTCCGCGTCTCCGTCCGCCCGGGAGTCGTCATCCGGTGAAGAGAGACTCCAGTCGGCCACGTCAGGATCGGAGTCGTCAGAGTCAGAGGGGACCGACTCAGAGGGGACGGAGTCAGGCGGGGCGGAGTCCGTCGACTCGGAGTCGTCCTCGGTGGAGGCGGAGTCTGTGTGTGCAGTGTCCGGAACAGCAGTGGTGGTAGGAAAGTCTTCAGCGGGAGGCGGCTCCTCTAAAGGTGGATCAGAGACACCCACGACGCTGTCGCGCTGATCTTCATTGATGTCAGAGTCGGCGGCGGCCGAGGAGGCTGGCTCCGGCTGAACTGAACCGGATGCCTCCTCAAAGTAATTATTCGCCGAATGTAATTCAGGTTGTTCGGATTTCAGATCAGGCACGGTTTGTGTGTCGATATTTTGTTCAGCTGCTGAATCACGCCCTTCAGCGTCAGGTTCACCATGCGAGCCAGCAATGGGTTCAGCGTGTTCAGGAACTACCTCCGCGGTTGGTTGTGTTGAATCTACTGCCAACGACTGCTCAGTGACATCCCCAGGCGTCTGAACACTGTCCGTGGAAGGAAGCTCGGCAACTGGTGCCACACTGGGTCCCGTGTCCAGCTCTTTGGTAGTTTGATCGCTTGGTTTCGATCCTTCACTATTACTATCAGGCTCTGAGTTTATTTGTTCGTCGTTCATATTATCAGATTCATTTTCAAGGTCCTCATCACCATCAAGTTCATCAAGCTCTTCATCGTCATCATCATCATCCAAACCATCATCATCTTCCTCGAAGTCCTCATCATCTTGTTCCAGCTGGTCCGTCACCTTGTTTGCTGCACTGTCACCAGGCTCTGCGCCGTTTCCAATCGCCTCCTGTTTCTCCTCCTCAGCCACTGTGTCATCCAAAGTCACGTGTCGTATCCCCTGTTCGTCTCTCGACTCAGGTAAAGATGTCTCGATGTGTTGGAATTCTGGATTGTTGTTCTCAACACCTTCTCCTCCTCCGTCCTCGTCTTTCTTCTCATCAGACACCACTTCCTTCTCGTCACCGCCATTCGAGAAAACCTCGCTATCCTCGGATAACTCACGATAATCACCGCCGTCTGCCACCGAGCCGCCTGTCCCATTTTCCTCAGATTCTGTCTGAATCTCTTCACCTGTCCCCAATGTCTGTTCCACAGACGGTAACTCGACAAGGGAGTCATTCTTCTCCGTCACATCATCCATAGTCGCCGGTACACCGTCTATCTGTATTGCGGGTCGGTCAGACATCGCGGTTCCTTCAGCGGTGATGACGGGCTGATGCGGGGCGGGTGTCGGACCGCCTGCGCCGCTCAATCCGCTGAGCTCCGCCGATAGAACAGGCCCAGGGGCGACAACGGCGGGACCGTGACCTGAAGGAGGCCACCCACAGACGGCACGTGTCACCGGCCCAAAGGTCAACAGGGTCAAAGTCGGGATTCCTACTTGGGGTTATATTTCCATGGTTTTCCGGTTTTAAAGCTAAGAGGGTGAATTATATTACTGTATGCCTGGCCTATTCAAATACATTAGCCTGAGGGGTGTGGTAATAACTGGTGTAAGCAAAGTGACCACGGTCAAAAACGAATTACCAAGTCAACATTTTGGGATGGCCTCGTTCAAAAAATGGCTAAGAGCTTCGGTCTAGACAATTATTTTATCGTTGGCATACAGTAAAATACATACCAAACTCGGCCGGTGATAAATTTTCAAGACCTCAGTCCTTACTGATTTTTGAACTCGGCCTTCGGCCTCGTTCAAAAATTCAGTAAGGACCTCGGTCTTATATAATACTGAACGAGGCCGGTGTAAATAAATTTTCAAGACCGAGGTCCTTACTGGATTTTTGAACGAGGCCGAAGGCCGAGTTCAAAAATCAGTAAGGACTGAGGTCTTGAAAATTTATCACCGGCCGAGTTTGGTATGTATTTTACTGTATGCCAACGATAAATTCATTTTCTGGATCGAAGCTCTTAGCCGACTTAGGAACGAGACCATCCCAAAATGTTGGCTTAAGTGCATTCTGGTAATGCATTTTTGACCGTGGTCAATTTGCTTACACCAGTTATTACCACACCCCTCTGGCTAATGTATTTGAATAGGCCAGGCATACAGTAATGAAAATTTATTTACACCGGCCTCGTTCAGTATTGTATAATACAAGCGAGTCAAATTGGGGGCCGGGGGGGGGGGCAAGCGTTTAAGTTTGAATATAGGGAACCATTACCGGGATATCGGCAAAGAAAAGCAGGACAGTTGGGGAGATAACTCCAAAAGCAAACAACCACTACCGATAGCATATTCTAGCTGGGTGTCGAAAAAAGCAACAGCGTCAAACTGCCCACCACCAGTAAACGGTCACACAACACTCACCTCCCGAACGACAGCATCGACTCACACGGTCGTCATTCACTCTCACCCTTCCTTTCACCGACCACCCAGACTCGCGTGACCTTTTCACACGGCTCCCACCATCACCACGCCCTGTATACCACATCACCTTTTAACCACACATAACCCAGATGGTACTCACCGACCGCTGGCGGCAGCGCTGACGAATCCCCGGCCACAGCGGGATCCGGTATCTCGGGAGAAGCTGGCGACGGTTGCTCGTCAGCCGTCTCTGGCGTTGTCTCTGCAGCTGCCGGGTCCGCCGGGTCTGCCGGCTCAGCCGCTGCAGCCTCAGGAGTGGCAGCGTCGGCGGCGGCGGGGTCTACAGCACCGCCGGCGCTGGCTGCGGCGGAGGACGGGTCTGATCCAGCTTCAGAGACGGCATTTCCGTCAGCAGCAGGAGCGGCCGGGTCTGGCACAGGGACAGCGGGCTCTGGAGCGGCCGGTGTGCCACTGAGAGATGACCAGAAACCACCGCCGGCCTCGGCTGTGTCGGCAGCGGGTTCCGTAGCGACGGGTTCCGCAGCAGCTGGTTCCTCAGCGATAGGTTCCGCGAAGGCAGGTTCCGCCGGTTGAGGAGCCGCCGGCGCGACGCCGCCCAGAGAGGACCAGAACCCGCCCTCAGCCGCCTGCTCCGGCTGTTCCGTGCCACTCTCTGCCACCTTCTCACTCTCCGGCACCACCGGTTCTGCCGGTTCCGCGGGTCCACCACCGAACAGCGGTGGCACCGGCTCGGCTGAGCCTGGTCTCGGCCCGCCCACCTGCTCTATCGTTCCCACGCCCACGCTCTGCCCCGCCGCCGCAGTATCCGTCCGCTCCGAGTTCGGTGCTGGTTCAGTCTCGGAGTCGGCGCCACCAGCCGCGTCGTAACCCTCTTCGGCGTCATCTACGTCGTCAGTTTCATTGTCTCCGGGATAGTCAGCGTCATCTGCCTCGAGCTCAGCGTCCGGCGCCTCAATATCCGCTTCCTGGCCGGCCTGATTGTCAGTCGAGTCAGCTGGGGAAGCCTCGGTTGCTTCTAGCGGCTTCTCACTTCCTGGTCCTGTCCCCTGGGCACCATCCGCCACCGCCGGGTCAGCTTGTTTACTGGCCTCCTCAGATGAGATCGGCGCTGTCTGGGCATCCACCGCACCCACAGTCGGCTGCGTCTTTTGGTCCTCGGCCATCCCCGGCAGGGTCACCTGCATCTCTGGCGGAGGCGGGGGCGGCTGGGAGGCCGCCGCGCCGGGCACCGCTCCGAACAGGCCGCGGTGTCCGCCGGTGGCGTCCAGGGCCGCCCCGGCCGGCCGCGGACTGGGAGCTGCAGCCGGCGGCGGGGGGTGATCGTGCTGGAGGTGTGGGTGCTGCCCCAGCAGCTGATCGGCCGGCTGGAAGGACGCGGGGTCCACACCGGCCTGAGCGGGCGGCGGCTGGCGCGCGCCCGGGTCCGGCACAGCGGCAGACGGCGCGTGAAGATGCTGTCCCTGCGCTTGCTGTTGCTGTTGTTGCCACTGTTTCTGCTGTTCATCGACCTCCGGGTTCTGCTTCTGTTGTTTCATCTCATCGTCTCGCAGCTGCTGCTGTTGTTGCAGTTTTTGCTCTTCCTGGAAGCGCAGTCTCTGCTGCTCTTCCTCTTGCCGTCGAGCCTGCTCCTGTTGAAGCTGCTGCTGCCGGGCCTGTTCCTCCTGAAGACGCTGCTGTCGAGCCTGCTCCTCTTGAAGCTGTTGTTGCTGCTGCTGCTGCTGCTGCTGCTGTCGGGCCGGTTCTTCCTGAAGCTGCTGCTGCTGCTGTCGAGCCTGCTCCTCCTGGAGACGCTGCTGCTGCTGCTGCCGCTCGCGGAGGGTTTTCACGTACTTGTGATGCCAGTCATGACCCAGGCCTACCACCCTCGGCCTGGGCAGCTGCTGATTCTGCCGGTACTCGGTACTATACGGGTAGAACGGCTCGGCGGGTCCCTTTGACCGCCGCGCATCTTTACTTCTACCCTGTCTTACTGGCTCGACTTCTACTAGCCTCTTTGGCCGTCTCTCCATTTTTAGCTCTCGTATAAAGTTTTTTGGTACATAGCCGCGCCGACCGTTCACCTGAAAAACAAAACCGAAACAAAACGATCAGAATCGGGTGAAAAGTGCACTCTCTGACGATGATACGTCTATATGTGTAGTGTAGGCACAATTTTCGCCATCGTTTATGCCTATGGTGAAAAATGCCCGTTTTCCAGACAATCATACCAATCGAAATTTTCTAAAGACACACAATAGTTTACCGATGTTTACTGTTCAACATTCACTAACGGTCTTTGGCAATGCACGCACATTTTCAGATACAAAAAAGTAAACAACATCACCCATGCTCCGGGCGCGGTGCCAACATGTTCTGCTGCTGCGAACCCACCTCGACGCCGTACAGGCTGGGGTTATCACCGGCCGGGTAGCTGTACACCACCACCTTGTCGTTGGGCTTGACGCTGAGCATGCCAGGCTCGCTGGCTGTGTAGCGCATCAGTACCATGCCCCGAGACACAGGCTCTGAGGACCAGATACAAGCGTCACCGGGGAACACTAAGCGACACAGGCTCATAGTATGTAAATTAGTTGGTGACTGACGAGAAAAAGTCATACTAGACTAGGGAGAAGGGATCAGCACATGTCAGATTCATGCAGCATGTTAAACCTTTGGTTATAATCGGCAGTGGCGAACCATCCTCGGAAAAGGCCAGAATAAAAAGCACTGAGTTTGCAGGGTCGTTGATTGTGAAACAAGCAAAAAACAAACAAATAAAAGGAAACAAACAATACAAACAAAACACTGATGCTTACCAAAGTAGATGCTTACCAAAGTAGAAAGGAAAGAGGCAAAGGGAGCGGGTTGCTCATGGGATACTGTTTCAAGCCTTCTTAGTTCTTTTTACCAAAGAACTTTACCTTCACATAGTGTGTGTGTAGGGGGAGGGGAAGGCCTCGAACGGAACAACCCCTCAGTTTTTCGCGAATAACTCACGTAAAAAGCGACCAATCGCAACAAACCTTTCAGTACCATCGAATTGATCACTTTGAAACATACCCAGAAGGTTTCATGGCAATGACCCAAATGGCCTTTGACCTGTGGGTTGGTTCCGAGACCATTGCAGGCCGCAATAACGATTCGGCGTATGTCAGCGCACTTTATCCGCACGTTCAGTTCTTTTTGTGGCTGTTTTGTGGCTGTGAACGTTCCGTTATGTAAAATAACATTTGCCCCATACATTATGGTGAGTTTAGAGGTCGAGTGAAGGCCAGGTCAAGGTCATTGATCTTAGATAACCTCGGTTCACTTTCTCCAGTTTTGCATGTTTGTATGGCAGTTTTTGGAGCTGATTTTGAATTTTACACCCATTTGTACATTTACGAAGTAGTTTTGGTGCCTACATAACATATTACGAGGCTGTCAGTGATGGTTGACACCTACTAAGGAAAGCATGCAGGATGCACATTGCACATTGGATGACCTGACCTGACCTGACAAAACCTACCCCAATGCATAAATACATTATTTTTGATTAAAATGTATACAAAATTCAGAATCAGGACTGAAAAAGCCTTGGCACAAATCCATCAGGGTCTAGCCAGCTGTCACCGGGTCACTGACATTTTATCATCAACGCTATTCTATTGCCAACCAGTCACTCTTGCTGTTCAGCGATGTACAGCTCCAGAATCTGAACTGTTAATAGCAGACAGGATTGTGATGGTGAAATTTTGGTAACAAGGGTAGATGAAAGGTCTTGAGTTGATTGGGTGTCTTAGGAAGCTTGCATAAAACTAACAGATGTAATTTTGTAATTATGTGTTAAACTGCTTAAGTTCTCTGTGTTTAGTATTGAATTTGAGGTTATTGGTGCCATTCTCAGGTGTGAGACTAGCAATCATATCAGTTAGGATCACCAGAGGTGAACTGCAAAGTATGTCAGTTTTTAATTCTTAAAAGCTCTTATTGGTTTGGGATTACTGAGCCATTGTGGATAACTATGGCAAGAAGCAGTGTGGTGCCAGGTGCAGTTATGCCAAGCATCTATTCTAATGACAGAACAGCATAAGGACCTATGATTATGGTGTCCTAGACTTGAAATAGAAGGGCTGGCAACTGGGTTTTCTGAATTTCCCTTTTCTTGTCAATTTTTGTGCCTCAACAATTCAGACTTCATATTTATTGATGTAGTCGAGTTTCAGCATGTTTGGTAGGCACAGGCTAAGGCGGGCCACTCCTTTGGCTCATGTGGGTTACTTCAGCTGATTTTATGCTTTGAAACATGGTGATAATATCAATCAAGATTAGACTAGAACTGATGCCAAACAAACAGCTGGACCTTATGTGCACAAACACCAAGCATGCACATTTCAATGGTACTACCGACAATGTTTCTGAACCCACACTGTTTCTCGCAGGATATCAATAAAATATTATGGCTATAAACATAAAAAGATGCTTGCCAGATTTATCCCAAAGTAACCTAAACTGAGAATGGATGTTCACAAAATTCCAGGGAGCAGAAAAACAACAAAATGATTAGGTACGTTCAACCGGACATACAACAGATGCATTCACTGAAAGATTGAATCTTATTACATTTTCTTCATTTTGAGCTTGTATCATTATTAAATTAAATATTAACATCATCCAAAACAGTGATTAGACATTTATGGCGCAGAAACCCGAACGGTTCTGCGCAGTTTTGCGGAAGAAAAAAGGAAAAATATACACACCTTCGCATTTTTTGTCGTAGCATAGCCTATGACTTGATAATTTAGCTGTAATAACACCAAAGTTTCCGACTAAAACAAGAATAAATAGCGTCCGCAGGCCCCAACCCCACTCCATGTTTTGACATCTGCTTCGTTGGAAGAGTGCTGCCAAATGGGAATATTAAATATATACTAAAAGAAAGCAAAAACAACTATTTTTCAACCAGTCGTAAATGCTTTTGGTGAAGCTTTTAGCGTTAATCAGCGTAACTGCGGTATCTTTTGCCTGACTTTTCGCAAGAACGTAGCTGAGAATTCGCAAAGGCTTATTTCAAACACAGACTTATCATATCTAGTCGAAAGAAAAGGTTCAAAGGTCACTAGTAGAAAATGAGTTTTTAGTATGATGATCGTTGAGAAAAAGTAGGCTAATAATACGCAGCTGAGACATCGATTCTGTACATATCTGAGCTACAAAGTGTTAGGAACTGGTTACTATGGTTACGATGCTAAAAAGTCATCTTCTATTGGTTGTTGCTTCAGTCGCTATGGAAATTACAGGGCTTAAGGTTTATAAGCGTACCACTGAACATAACTAGATTAGGTACAGGAAATTAGCAAATTGAATGCACGTGGGTGTTTCGCGTCAAAGAATTATGAATATTTTTCAGTTGATGGGGTTAGTTTTTGGCTTTTAAGAACTGGTTATTGTTATATCTATTTATACTTATTGTATTTATATACACTGTGGTTATATCAATATGCATTTGTGATCTGTCCATCCACAAATACTTATTGCTACTTAAGCTTGCCTGCTATCCTGACAAACTTTATTTTTTACCCTGTAGGCTGTGGATGTCGACCGCGCTTTGTACTGTCGCACTTCAGTTTGTAATGCACAACAACTTTGTAAATGGGTAAAGGCTGTGAGAAAGCCTCTGTATCCAGTCTGCAAATTATGGCAGTTCAAGTTTCAATGAGATCTTGTTGGTGCAGGCTTACCTATTCAGCTGGTTCGGATTTGGTGTGGTGCGGTGCAGATTTGGCTTGGTGCGGTGCGGATTTAGTACCTCAAGTGAGGTGCCAAATTGGCTAGGTGATGGACATGACAGACCAGACGAGATAGATGAGGAAAATCAAAAACAAAAAGATTGTTAGAGCTTCAGCATAACGTAATTCAGTGTGCTCTCGGGTCTAAATAAGTGTGTGATGGGCAGAACGGACTACCAGTGCTGGTGGTCCCATCAATCACGTGGGTTGGGTCTCCCGCAAGTTCGCACTCTTTGCACTGTTACAACACGAAACGCACCGCTTCGCTCTGTGAGGCGCCTGTGGTAGAGTGAGAGAGATGAGCACGGCCGAAGAAAGGGATTAAGATTTGTACGGCCGATAGGAGTGCCAGCAAATCACCGCTGGCCGCTTCAAGCAGTCAAATGGGAACAATTTATCGGGTAGGTACGCAATTTATCGGGTAGGTACGTTTGACGCGGCTAATAGGTTGCGTTGAAAGAAGCTGAGTGCTGCATTCTGCTTTCTGCAGCATTCGTGAATCAGATACGCTCGGCTCTTGTGATCATTTGGCATTGTCGCTCGGTGGTAGGTAGGGCGAGATGCGCATTCCGCATGGCTGATGGCAGGCCTTGAGGACCACCACTTTGCCGCAGCTAAGTAGTCAAATCCGCTGTGAATGACTTGCCTATCAAATGTGTTGTTTGATGCAGCTAATGACCTAATGAGAAATGCAGAAAATGCATGCATGCGATGGACCCACTTGTTGCCGTTCATATTTCTATTTTTGTAACTGGGGCCTTCACAAGTTATCAAGCCGTTTAGCTAAATGGCAGTGTCGACACCATTAGGGTAACCATGGTACATCGCACAATAATCACCCTGGATGAATCGCCAGGGACAGGTATTAGAAAGGATTCTCTTATTGGTGTGACATGCTTTTTGTTCTTGTCTTGCAGTGCGTATCTCTCGTTTTATTTCCATACTACTGAGACAGCAGGCTTGTGACTCATATCAATAATTTGAATGGACTCAATTGAGGTCAGTGTGGCTTTCAAACTGGTCAGTTGTGCGGGTTCGTGCAGATTTTTTTGTACTCTAAGCCAGCTTTGGTGCGGATTTTCTGACTCTGTTTGAAGGATTGGTGCGGATTTTGAACTTGGGCCGGTGTGCCTCGTCGACCTGCGAGCCATACTTTGCAGACTGGCTCTGTATAGCCTTGAGGCCTGAATTTGATTCAGACATCAACAGCCTCAGAACATTTATTCTGTCACTGTTTGTTTGTGCTCAAGTGCTTGGTATACTGAGAAGAGATAATTCCCAATTTTGACTTTTTTAATCAGAATAAGAACACATCAAGAGACCCCCATCATAGGGTCCAGCACAAGTTAGTTTCTATAAAAATGTGCACTTTAGAAAGCTATTTAGGTAGTGGTTCTTTGTAGTGCTTAGTATATTCCCCGTGAACAGTGAACACTCTTGTAAATAATCAGACATTATTGAGTTTTATTCACGATCGATGGCAACACAAGTCAAATTCTTAAAACCAGACGTTTCGGCCACAGGGTGCCACAGGGTTTTTAATTTAATCACTAGTGTCCACTGACGAAGGCACCCTGTGGCCGAAACGTCTGGTTTTAAGAATTTGACTTGTGTTGCCATCGATCGTGAATAAAACTCGAACACTCTTGTATGCACAATCATAGTTTGGCATGCTGGTGATCAGGTTGTGCAGCACAGACAGCTTAATTTGGACCATGCTCATTTCAGCTGTGCCTGCACGGTGCAAAGGCTGGCCACTGGTTTCTGTCCAGGTCCTGCTGGACGATAGCTTAAAGTTCTTCGATCAGGATTAGGTCCAGATTGTAGCCGAGCTCTTTCATTCAGAAGTCCGGCTGGTTCAACTTGCGCCTTCAGTGGGCTTTGGTGGAATGATGAGCTTCCAGCTGCTTTCATCAGGGTGATTTTTTGTCACAGTCGGCTGACGCCCCGATCTGGTGCAATCGGCAACGCTGCCAGCAGTCGTATACTTCTACTACAGCTAGCGCCGGACTGCGGGCAGATGTTGCAAACCGATCAGCTACCAGTTATGGCAGATATGGCACGCTTTGTCATCTGTTAGGAGCATGCCAACTTAAGTGTTTGATTCCGCTCCCCGAGCTCGAAGTCTCTGACCTCAGCTTTGCGGCTGGCCGTTTGGGAGGACACATTCTGTGTGAAAGTGGCCATAGCTCGGCGACCGCTGATCCGAGGTCAGTTCGCGACCTCATGACCCGCGGCCAAGGACCACAAAATGTAGGAGTGCAGCCAGGACTGTTATGCCATAGGAGTGGAAACGATTAGGCACCGGATAAGTGTCGTTATGGGTAGGGGACAAAACTTTTGCCGTGCCCTGTACTGTAGTCTTGTGTGAAACTCATTTGGGCCGCTGCATTTTTAATCGACCATCTTCTATGATTAGGTAACCGAGTGGTGTTCTTAATTCTGTGTTAACCCGCGCCCCACTGGGGTCTGCGTATAACACGCCCTACTGGGGGGGGGGGGGGGGCTATTCATAGCCCCCCCCCCTCCTAACTCCGAAACTACTGGGCCGATCGTCAAAATTCGAACGGTGTCTGATAGCCCCGGAAAAACTGTCGAGCGAAACCTAATTTCATTGACCTCGAGGTCACCGATGACGTCACAGGTCAGGTCAAAGTAAAAATTATTAGCATTTTGGCTTGTTCACGTTTTGGGCTCTGGCCGCCGTCTTACATGTCAGATCAGGCTCATTTTTGGTTCACACACTCGTGAACAGATGCTCTAGATACCCTGAGGGTACCAAACTTGTACTTTGATTTTCAGGTCAAGGTCACTGGTCAGGTCATCACAGGTCACGAAAATATTATATCATGCGTCGGTCACGTGACACATGTTTTATGGTCCATTTAGGCCAAAGATTTCGAATTTGATGTCGTCTGTGTCATTCGAGGTCATTTTGAGTCGAATTTAGCTTAGGTCAGGCCACTTTCAGGTCAAAAAGGGTCAAATTTTGAAGTTATAATTTTTCAACAGAAAAGGTGTCTATTGGATGCAGTTTGAGCTCAGGAACACGACGGTGCTATTTATATTGGCGTACGATGTCATATACGTGGTGAAAAATTGACTTGAAAAATTAATAATTGTGAATTTTTTGCAATAATGCGTATAACTTGGCCATTTTTGAAGATATTTAGCTAAAACTTGCTAGCTTTAGTCATAATAACGCGTTCTATCACATATATTCCGGTTTTTTCGAAAAGTCAAAAAAAAATGTAAAAATGTAAATTTTGAATTTTATTATATAAAATTTTCGAAATTTTCAAAACTTCGAAAATCCGAGATAGCAGTTTGATAGCGCAGTCTATTCTGAGTCCTCTCATGCAAAGAAATTGGATCTAGCTTAAAAACTGAGCCCTTGGGAGCGATTGCCGTGGTTCAATGTTTTGCGTCGAAATCGGCCGAACATGACGTCACTCTGACGTCATTTCCGGTCGACCTATGGTAGCTACGAAGTTCAAATTTTGACACAAGGTGTCAAATTGATGCAGCCGAAGGTACTGAAAGTTTGGCGTCGATACGTCAAGCGGTTTGGAAGTTATTGCAGAAAAACGGGAGGGGGGCTATAAATAGCCCCCCCCCCCCCCAGTGGGGCGCGGGTTAATGTTAACACCATGAATTGTTGGTATGCGTCATTATCTGATCTGTGACACTGTTCCAGGTTTGATAGCTAACAGCTGTACTTCATCAAAATGGAGATAATAGAAAGAGATGTAAGCTCTGCTCATGCCAAACCGCCTACACTGTCAACTCAAAGAGGATTCCCAGAGCCACAAAAACTAGCAGTAAGTACCTGTGTTGCATGCATACTTTTAACATCGACTTTTGCTGTACCATTGAAGGTAATTAATTAACGAGCCTAGATAGACCTTCAGTAGTCGCTTGAGAGGGTTGCAGATAAATATGCGTCCCTTTAATCTTCTCAGGCTGTTGATAATCCCAGTGCTAAGTGGTTGTCAGAAAAGAAAAATCATGGTCGTCATTCGCTAATATGCTAAAACGAGAGAGGCATCTATAAACTTTCGATGGCTTATCCAAACCCAATCCAAACCGTAGCTGATCGGAAACAAGTACGGATGTTTATCAGGGTCTCTCTCGGCTCAAGCCTTCATGTACATTCATGATTAAACCTCCATGTACCTCGTTCTCCTTGTGCATGTAATGAATGATTCGTCCTGTGAGTGGTGCGTTCTTCCCCCCGCTGCCTGTCCGACTTTCCGCCGGTCGAATTCGATCCTCGTCGCCTCGTCGGCGGGAGGGGGGAGGGGGTGGAGGTGTCCATATCAGTAATACCGGGGCTGCTTCATTACCAGTACGATTTTCATCCTCGTCGACATCCTCGTTTCATCCTTGTCTTTGAGCTGTTGATTCAGTGTTATGTACGATGTAAAGCGTATACCCACTTTTGAAGGTTCGATTCTAGCTACCCTATTTTATTTGCGAAAACCATGAAGGACGTCCCGTGAGTGCTTATTGAATATTGATACGGATGGTGCCATTTTCCAGACTGAATCAGATGCCGATCGTCCCAGTTCAGGGAGGAAGAGGAGTCTGTTTGCGCGACAGGCAGAAAAGCAGAGGAAGACGGCACCCCCAGCTGCGTCACTTAGCGCATCTAATCAGTTCACTTCAGGTGAGGAGCGGCAGGCCAATGGCCAGTTGTGTTTGCAATTTCAAGGTTTTTTTCCAAATCCATAATAGTTGTCTTCGAAAATTCCTACTTATTTTGCTAGCTGTCCTTGAATAATGGAGACCATGATAGAGATCAACCTAGGGTACCACCAAATCTAGTTTTCTCACCGGTTTTGAGCCATTTATTTTTCATTCCTTGTCTTTCTCAACAAAAAATAATATATTTCCAAAAAAGTGCGGTATTCCGTCTCAAAGTTGTGGGGGCACCGCCCCCCCCCCCAACGGCCCCAGAGTTGGGGGGAGGGTAGGCTGCCCCACTACCCCCCCCCCCATTCCCGCGCCTATGAATTTTCTTGATAGCTTTAAAATTTAAAAACTTTCGATAAAAAACTTGTACACTTTCTTTGAGGATAAGGTCAAGTAATGAAACTTTATACCATGTGTGGTGTTTGGTGAAACTGTTGCCTGGGTTCAGTGAGCTGTGAGTTAGCATGGTTACGGTTCTGGTCAGTGGAGCCGGGTCGCTCTCTAGAGGTCAGTCGAAGTCTGTATTTAACACCCAAACGTCCATTAGTGCATCTCTGCCCGCTCCTGTTCCAGTAAACCCGCGGCCTACGGTAGACGGTCACGGGAATAAGTTGTTTTTCCCGGTTCTGTAGTTGGCAGAACATTCGTAGATACATCCCCGAATAGGGCATAACGAGGACATGTAATGTCTCGAATATGAAGTAACATGAATTTCTGCTATAGATTAATCCATTCTTGTTTATAGTTCAGTGATGGGCCTCAACCTTTGAATTTTTGATAAACGTCATGATTTGCCGATATTTAAAGCTAGTTGCACGATGCTCTCGTGAAATGTTATAACCATATTTTTCTACCAACATCTATCTTATCTTTGCCTTTCACAATGAGCACGTAATAATATCCAGCCGTCGAACGATTTATCCAGCTCTTGTTAGAGTTGTTACCCGTAAGGATTGTTCTCGCATGGACGTTTGATGCTTGACATTACTTATCCGTATCGCTTTGGTATTCGAATTGACATCGTTTTATTCGATATTAGTTAAGTCAGACTTGTACATTTGAAAACAGACACCTACAGCATTTGGAGATATATTTGTTTAACTAGTATGAAAGCGCGGATATAATACTTTTCCCCATGTTGGAACTGGAAGAGGCGCCCACGAAACAGTGCTGCCTATACAGCTTACGGCGTCGCCAAAGAAGGCGCTAGCCCCAAGCAAGCCCGATTTCTTCTACCACGGGCCCAGGTCGACCTGTGGGATGGCCTGGCTGCCGCAGCTTGTGACGGCGTTGGAGCCGCTGTCGGCCGTCCGGAAGGCCAGCGGCTGAATGCGCGTCACATCGGCCACGTTGTCGCAGAGCACGCGCGCCCAGCTGGCGCGGCGCACCTGCTCCAGCTGCGCGCCCGACAGCCGCCACGGCCGCTCCGAGCCGCCCAGGTCGTAGAAGAAGTTGTCGCCGTGTCGCAGGCGGATGAACTGGTCACCAATGAGCCGGCTGAAGGTCCGACCGAGCATGACATGCGGTATCGGCTGCTCCAGCACGCCGCCGATAAAGAGGTCCACGTCGTCGACGTGTTGGTACACGCTTTGCAGCGCCTCGATGGCCGCGCTGGTCATATCGCCTTGCAGGTCGGCCCAGGAGGTGGCACGTGGCCGACCTGTGGCCTCACGCGCGTCGTTGTAGGTGCCCAGACCGTGGTCTCTCCCGCGCTGAATGTTGAGCGCGACGAGATCGAGCCCGTGAGAGGCTCCGTCAGCCTCAAACAGGTGCTCGGTTAGGTCCGAGGCGAAGTTACCATCCAGCTTCTGCGTGCGCTGGGCGGCGAGACCGCGCGCGAGCTGCGTGAGACGCTGGGGGTCGTAGAGGAGGTGCGGGTCGAAGAAGACGTCCCGAAGCATGACGCTGCTAGTCTGGACACCTAGCGAAGAGAACAGGCCGATTGTTCCGGAGACCAGGCTGTGACCGAAGCGCAGTGCCGCCGTGGCGAATGCGTTGGTGATGAGCGCCTTGACTTCTCTACGATACTTGAACGAGTGACTGGTACCGCTATCCATCAGCAGTTCGTTGCGAGAGAGATAGTCGAGATCGAGGAGCGTCGGCAGCCATTCGTTATAGGTGATGTGCTGGTACTCGGCAATGACAATGCGTCTCGCCTCCTGGAACAGACGCTCGTCATTCCATTCAGGGTGTTTCGCAGCCAGGACAGCCGCTATACGGTTGTGCTCACGAAGCCAGATGGTATGGGCCAGGGTCAAACTAACCTGCTCGTTGACCCGCTCATCGCCCGCCTCGAAACATTGCATGGTCGCGTTTGCGCAGAAGGCATCATCATCAACGGGGAGAAGCGTGCCGGCCTGCGACTTGAGGCGTCCCCCGCTGAGCTCGCGAAGATGTGTCTGCTGCTCCAGGCTTGACCCGTAGATCTGCGAGCCATCCAGGTAGTGAGTGAGAACATCCTGCTGCTGGGCATCAGTCGTGGCACCACAGGCGGGAGCTTCGGCGGGCAGAGAACGAACAAAGTCCATACAGCGCACTCCCAGAGGACCGTAGAACGGGTCGTCGGCGGGGATATCGATGGCGAAGCACTGCGGATGCGTGTCGGCTGCAGGCAGCGCCTGGCCGTCCGCCGTACAACACGCGATGCCCGCACCGCCGCTGAGAGTGAAGATGGGCGTCAGCGCCAGGTCGTGGTCGACGAACTGCCCCCACTGCATCACGGAGAGGGTGAAGCGGTCGTCGGCGGCCTCGGAGTCGGTGGTGGCGGTGGTGCTGACGCGGCGGGCGGAGGGCAGCGGCGAGCCGTCCGTCTGCTGGGTGCGCGGTGTGAACACGCCGTCCCCGTACCGGCTCGGCAGGAGACGCAGCATCCCCTGGCCGGCCATACCCAGCTGCCGGTTGGTCGGGTTGTTGCAGGAGCCGTCGGCGGTACGGAAAGACGGAGAGGAGGGGCACGCCGGGGTCGACGGGTCCGGACAGCTCGTCCCGCCGCCGCCGCCGCCGCCGCCTCCGCCGCCACCCGAGTGGCCGCGGCCTCGGTCGCAGCGTTTGGAGGACTCCAGCTGAAGGAGAGCTCGCCGTGCGGAGCTCTGCTGCGCCGGACTGTAATGCTGCGGACGTCTGTGAGATCTTGACGCGCCGCGAGCCACTAATCCACGCTCCAGCAAGCGACTTTCCAAGTCCTTCTGCGCAGATAACACCTCTTCCGCCTTGTATGCATGTATGTATGTATTACCGTCATGGACAGTCTGCACGTGGCCCTTGGTGTCTTCCGAACTCAAGCATTTTGCGGGCTTGCCGCGGCGCCGAGAGCTGATGAGATCGGGAAGGGACCCGGTAGTTCCACCGCTCGGGGGCGGTCGGCAGCAGACTCCGGTGGACTGGTCGGACAGAGTGCAGCTGGTCAGAGACACGCCGGCCGGTGCCACGCGGCACTGTGACGGGGGCAGGCAGCGGCAGGTATCGCCGCCACCGCCACCACCGCCGCCGCCGCCTCCCGAACCGCCGCCGCCGCCGCCACCTCCGTGGTGGTGGTGGTGGTGCCTCGCGGCAGCCGCGAGGGATACCACCGCTAGCTGAAAAGTAAAATAAAGCTCCGTAAGAATCTTGAAAGGTGGCCCAATACTGGAAAAAAGTTATCCTAAGTTTTAACTTGAGTTATAAGTAGGCACATAATTTGTAACTTGAGTTATAAGTTAAAATGAGTTATACGTTGTTGAACTTACTTAAAATTATGCCTTTTTATTTAAGCTCATTCATTCGTTTACGGAAAGCTAGTATGAAATTAGTCCTCAACTGATATTTGGTCTCATGGAATACTCCGATCATTTGAGCCCGCACCGCAAATTAGCCACCTATTGTTTCCTGAGAACAATGTAACTAGTCCGTGCCGTGCTGGTGGTCTGAATTTTCCATGGAGTGCTGGGGAGGGGGGGGGGGGGGGGCGTTTTCACGAAACACCGTCTAACTCGGCTCATTGGTCACGTAGCGGCAAGCGGTAAGCGGCGTCCGAAAGAGCGTCGAAAAATTATGACGATAGTACTTCGCTCATTTTTAGGTCAGGTCAAAGGTTAGTTTACCAGGTCACTAAAGGCCAAATTTTGCCTATTTCGACAATTTTCTACAAATTGGAGCATAACTCGTGAATGAATAGGGTTACAGGGCCGCGGAAAAGCGCATTTTTTTTTATAAATTTAGTCCGAACCTTTGAATGGGAAGGATTCACAAGGACAGAGCCACCGCTAAGCGAAGCTTGTTGCGGTGACCCTGCCCTCTACCTTCCGATCGCGCAATTCCAGTTCTATGGCAGAATTTAGAGTCCAAAGTTTAACGTGCGCACATAGCCGCGCACGGCCGGTCCCCTCACTGACTTCGCCTGGCTACGGCCTGCCACCAACCGCAACCATACCTATCAGGAGGCCCATAAATGTCAAGCGCCCGTCGCGCTTCGAACCCGGACTGTTGTAACCGGGAACGCGTGCTCTCACCACGCGGAGTCCAACGCTCTACCAACTGAGCTACGGGACCGGCATTTAACTCTTTTAACATTCTTTTTGGGGTTTGTCCTCAGATTTGATCTAAGTTAACACTACAGTTTAGATCGCAGAGGACAAAAACTCTTTAAATGGATGCTTTTAGTTTTTTTTTCGTAATTTGACCCAAAACTGGCACGACATTTATTTTGCCGGCATCGTGTTTCTCTGATCGAGACGCGTCGAATGAACTATTATTTTACCTTACAAGGTCTAGGTCATGACCTGACCGGAAAAGGTCATGCTGCATATCATTCGATCCGTATCCGGTCGAGCTGAACACATCTGAGGTGTTTTCATCGCTCCAGTATGTCTATCAGAAGTCGTCAAAAACTGCTGGAGAGCTTTCATGGCTGAGATAACCTCAGTGGCATAAAGTGGGGGTCATGGTTGGTAATTTTCTGATTCAGGGTGTCATGTTAGCCTGCTATCCGATGTTTTAGAGTGGTCGGTGGCTATATTGACTTTTGTCGAAAAGAGGCGCATTTCATTTTCATCCCATTAACTTGACTATAATGGATATTTCACAAAATTGGCCTGACCTTAAGTCACCATTATCAATATTCCCAGATATGTATTTTATAAATGATGCTGCTCCTTATCACTGGCTGAAGTCTCAAAACAATCGCTCAGTCGGTGTAAGTATGGCGAGTATAGGAATTTTTCTGAGGTGAGGTCACTTCACGTGACCTGGTGACCTGACCTAGAACGACCTGGGTTCGACATTTTCACAATGTATGCAGAAACGATACATAATAGGGCGTGTCAAAAATATTGAAAAAAATGGGGGGAGCATGCAAAAACGCCCCCACCCCAGCACGGTGCGGGCTAAGCTTGAATGACGATTTGGATATGCAGTGATGATTTATAAAGTTCGGAGTAAAAAGTTATAAAAGTGAAAGTTAGAAGCTATAAGATATGTCTAAGACATTTGCGAACAATCCGCATCTCTTAGGATGCAAAAAGAACAGCCGGCAATCTGTTGTACTCAAAATTGCTGTGAAGCCTGCCTCGCAGTTATCGCGCTAATATCCGCTCATCGGGTCTCTGGTATCCTTTTGTCAGGTCCCTCCTTCCGCACTCGGAGCGCTCCCTCTCCCAACTTACCGCCACTGTCAGCCTCATCCTGCCCCTGGCGGCGTTCAGGTCCTTCTGAATGGGTGGGTGGGCCAAAGTAGCACGCCCCTGTGTTGGGGTGGATGGGACACGCCCTCTTATATGCACGGAACCGACGGCGGGCGCCACAGCTGCGTGCCAAGGCATCAGAACGCGGCGGGGTGGGCTGACGGTCGTCGCCAGACTTACTTCCGATGAGGAGAATGACGGAGCATGAAATATGGGGAAATACGAAAAGGGAGGTGCTGATAAAACGCGTTCAAAATTACTTTGAAATGCACTGTTGACCCAATGTTACTTTGATAGGCTTCGATCTCATTTCGTGATGTGTAGGCTGGTCTAGACGACTGACGATTCGCGACGTCTGGTTTCTGTGATTCATGAAACGCGATGCAATGTTGATGCCTTGCCTAAAGGTGAAAACATCGTAATTCGATTCCTGAGAGGCATCAGGCAACACCATTTCATTGCAAACAAAAAATGATTGAAAAATTCTACTTTTACCAGCTGACATGGAGCTACTGGGGACTGGTATAAAGATTAGAACAAAATGGCCATTATCAATGTGTCAAAATAGATCAATGTGATTATATGATCGCGTGATTTGACGCTTAGTAATGGTTTCCCCCTAATGAAATAAAATAAAATAAAATAAAATAAAATAAAATAAAATACAATGAAATACAATGAAAAATCGGCACGATGACTAAGCGGCGCGAAGGTCAAGTCTGACTCGGCGTTGCACTCGTCAGCTCAATGTCGAGACCCGCACATGCTGGCATTGTCGATGCAGCCTTGGGTGTCGACCCGGCGGCGGAAACAGATCACTGCTCCCGTGCTCGTGACGTCAGTGCTAGCAGGTGTCCTCCGCTGCCTCTGTGGCTCTGTCAGCGATCCCAGACGAGAACAGCTGCGTTTTTATCATTGTCACAGCTCTCCACCAGCCTGATATCCTCTGGCCTGGTTTCCTATCGAACGCACGGTGATTGGGGGAAGATTTTTTAGGGCGTGCGATTGCACAATGCACAATGTACATTGCGTGAAATGGATATGACTTATGACCTGATTTACGTCATCATCATTCTAGCTACATAATGGTAGGCAGCTTCCGGCCCGCAGGCCGGAACCCAACTGTTCAATGCCTGTTTTAGATATTGTGTTTGCTGGTCGTATATACGTATCCTCGGTACGTATATCGGTATTGTATTGGTTCATCCTGCCCTTCAGCCGCTTCTTGTGGGTTTCATTGGGCCTGCTCACGAAATGGCTTCAATTTATGAAAATTCAATCGTAGTGTGGTGATAAATGACCTCTATTTATGTTTCGTGTGACCTGGCCTGACCTATTCCCGTCCATATATATCACAGATGACCCCATTGTACTGAGGCCGTCCGGTGTGAATAGACCTGACTTGTTCTTTCGTGCCGCAGCTGGCCGTAGTGTTGGTATGACCTGCTGACCTGACCTGACATGACGTGACTCGTCCCCCTGTACCGCAGATGGCCGTAGTGGTGTTGGTATGACCTGCTGACCTGACCTGACATGACGTGACTCGTCCCTTTGCGCCGCAGATGGCCGCAGTAGTTATGGTGGTGGACGGCCCTGGTGTGACCTGACCTGACCCGTAACTCGTCCCTATATGCCACAGATGGCCGCAGTATGGTGGTGACTGGTGGGGTGGACGACCCTGGTGTGACCTGACCTGACCCTTTACTCGTCCCTATGTGCCTCAGATGGCCGCAGTGTGGTGGTGGACGGCTGTTTGGTAACCTGATGTAACCTGTGACCCCGACTGTGCCTCAGATGGCCGCAGTATGGTGGTGGACGGCCCTGGTGTCACCTGACCTGACCCGGCCATAACTCGTCCCTATGTGCCGCAGATGGCCGCAGGGTGGTGGTGGACGGCCCTGGTGACACCTGACCTGACCTGTGACCCGTCCCTATGTGCCTCAGATGACCGCAGTGTGGTGGTGGACGGCTGTTTGGTAACCTGATGTAACCTGTGACCCCTCTGTACCACAGATGGCCGCAGTATGGTAGTGGACGGCTGTTTGGTAACCTGATGTAACCTGTGACCCCGACTGTGCCTCAGATGGCCGCAGTATGGTGGTGGACGACCCTGGTGTCACCTGACCTGACCCACGACCCGTCCCTCTGTGCCACAGATGGCCACAGTGTGGTGTGACTGGCGGTTTTGTGACCTGATGTGACCTATGGCCCCTCTGTGCCACAGATG